TGATCATAAGGAATTAAATGTGCGCAGATGTTCAAAGCGGATAAAGTTGGTTTGGCAAAAATACGTACAAACACGTTTGTGAGCAGCATAGGCGCGTGAGTGGGGGGCCGAGGGTGCACTTCACTTTCTGAGAATGATGAGCATTAAGCCTGTGGTGATGCACGGGGAAAATTCATTTCGGCATGGTCGATTATATTTTATGGATGGTGGTCCGGTACAGACCGACCACCAAGGTATCAAGTTACAGCTCTTGACAGCCATTAAATACTCTCGAAATTCGGTTTCCGATGACAAATCCAAGGCACAAATTCAAGTAGATAATTTCAAGCTCTATCCGGCGCACAGTTTAAAAAAGTGCCATGAGCAGTGTAGGGTCGGGTGCGAACAGGGTCTTAATCAAAGGGGGTGCACCAACCTATGCCTAGCTGATGCACCATTCTCTCCAAAACTCGTTTCACTTTATATGAGCAATCACATACCGGGTGCCACTGGCGCGTCTGCCCGCCGTATGCGACAACCGAGCTGACTCGTCGCATCCGTCAGCTGGCATCGGCTGGGCGCTCGAGGGCATCGGGTGAAGTCGCCACCAGAGGCGTCGTCAGGCTGAGGAATAATGGCGGAGCCTAACAAGCTCGGCGGGTGATCCACAGTGGACTTTTTTTTCTTCTAATGTTTGTATCTCTAATACCCTTTATATTAAGGTAATCTTGCGCAGTTCTTGCGAAGAAGGTCATGCCATGAAGGTCATGCCATGAAGGTCACGAAGGTTGGGTTGGTCATAATACTTGCCTTGACCTATGCAATGGTTTCCATGGCCCGCCGCCCCCTACCCCCAGCTCTCCTCAGTTGACGGGATGTGAAAGGCCCGCTCAATGTGCATTCTAACGCTCAGCTCGCATCTGCATACGAAGTTTTGCGCACGTACGTGCCATCGCCAAACGAACTTCATCGCTAACACATTTTTGTACAAACTTTGTGTACTTCAGCTATCAGATATTGACGTAAGAACACTTGCTTATGTTTCTTTGTGGAGTGAACGTTTTCTTTGACGAACGTTAGAGCACGAATATTCAGGTACAAACGCTTGCTGACGACCTTTTTCCATGCGGACTTTTACGAGCAGAAACATTTGCGTATGAGCATTTTACGATACAATCTTTATCGATTAGTACCTTTTTGGTTTGCGAACATTTACCCCATGCACAGCATATGCTGCGCATTTTGTTCCGAAGAGCATGAGGCATACATAGTTTATCTTACGAGCAATAACTATGCGTACTTTGTATCCCTACTTCTGTCGGTAACCTGCCCTCCGCCCTATCCCTACTTCCCTTTGCGTACGTCATTATACTGCGGCCTTTGGTAGGTGGCAGCCCATACGGCTTGCTACATGTAAAGATGGCGCTGATATAAGCCCTCCCTCGACTTCATAGCACGCCGCCGGCACGAAGTGTTAGTAAAAGCGTTGCCATTCCCCAAGTTTTACCTTTACAGCAAGGGTGTTGTCCCCAACTTTCCCAGATGAAGACGACCACACGGGTCCAAGTCGTCTCGCAATTAAATGTTTTGGGATCGAACAAAAAGCTCGGGTGAAACCCTAATGGTGAATGTCAGTGAACACTAGTGAAAGCGTTTTTTGAGATTCCAAAACTATGTTCTCAGCTTGCAGTTCGTTTGAATTGTTTTCTCAGCTTTTTAGAGTCTCGTCTATTTACACATCGCGTGCACATTTAATATAAATCATGTGAAGATAGCGTTAACATGAGCAGTCCCACAACATTCGGAACACGTTGCTCGCAGAAAATATCAGCGATCTACTTCGCCATCTGCACACACTATATGTTTTTAACGAGAGGGAAAGAGAAACCATGAATGGCCACGAATTGGTCCACGAAGAAGAACGCGTTGTCTCTGGAAATCATATGAAAAGGCAATCGCGCGTTCTCGCGCGCCCAGCACACCTCGCCTGGTGTGATCTGCAGCGGCCAAAACCGTTCGATTTGAGAGAAACTGCTGTGCCGGCAATAGCCGTTTTTGCTCCTTAGGCTGGTAGCGCGCTGGCTGAAAGTCTGTTATGTAATTTGTACCACAAGTTGTTCTGTAACATCGGCTGTCCTTTTCATTTTGGACCTCATTTCGACCTACTCTATTGAACGCTTATAAGATCCCTTACCTTCTCACCTGGTTCCGGGAAGAGGACTCTATGTGTATAAAACTATATGCACATTATCGTTTCCGGCTGAAGACTGAAAGGTCACTGCGTCTCAGCGCATGGTGCCTGCCGGCCGTCATTCTGGAGACCCGGGGTCATTTTGTCATTGCAAAAGTTATTTCGATGCTAAGTCCAATGACGTGATTTGGGGGGGGGGGGGGAGGGAATTACAGTCTAGATGCAAGAAAACGTCGAGTTGTAAAGATGAACACATTGATTGCACTCCGCTGATTAGCTCCTGATATTGTGGCATAATGTGTCGCCGAGGACCGGTCATTACGGCTCGGCCCCATTCATTTCGTAGGATTTGGTCCGCGACATGGACCCACGTACCGCCAGGGGACTTGATGGTCTTGCAGTGGTTGACGGTGGGGTGGTTGTACCCGAGGTTACCCAGCCTAGCGTGAGAGCGATGCTTATCGATGGGCAATGTGCTCCGCCTTTTGATATGCTCAGGGACTTTGAGCACTGTTACATGGGAGACTGACTCCTTGCGAGACTGATTTTGAATGAGTTCCGAAGTTCCCAAAGGTCTATTTTTGCATCGTTAATACCAAATGCCCAGATATGTTTGCATGGCATGCTCTTTCTGCGGTGGCATTGCTCGGACGAGATATGATATTTCCTCGAGCCTCGCGGCGGGCGAGAGCTGGTGGGTACAGAAAACATGTACAAAAACGCGCTCCAACATGCGCGAGCCGATGCGGACTGAAAAGACAGAACTGCTACCAGCTACGTCTTACCGCACTACCAGCATTCAGAGTTATCAAGGTCTGCAGGCTCATCCCGACGGATGGGTGCAGTAACATGCTTAATATTAAACAGAACAAATAAGAACGCGGGGGCAAATCAGGCTATATGGCAAACAAGCCAGCCTTAAACAGACATTTTGCTGGGATGATTGGAAGAGAACGTACGCTCTGGAAGACATTTTGGGGCGGAGCAGTTCACTGTGTCTAAATTGGGTGAAATGCAGCCTTTCCTTCCCAGCACCAATTAGTGGATGCAACAATATAGAAGTCGCTCTGCTTCTTTTCCCTTGCAAGGCATGCCTAGTAACTGGCACCTGCCAGACGGTTGGTCAATGCGTCCATTTGAGGATAACTGAGTACACTGCAACCAATCCAAAGCTTTGTGTATGTCTTTTGCGCTCGTCTAATGAACGGTGCCAGTCTCAATACACAATGCTGGTTAAAGCCTCCATGCATCACTACTCAATGTTCCATGCATAAATCAACCTTCGGCAGATTTATGTCAGTGGCGCAGAATCTAGCAAGAGAGATATGTGTCCAGGTCTCTGCATCGTGTAATGCTTGCAACAGGGAACACTAAGAAAAGAGCCCAGCCACCGGCCTTTCAAACAGCGCGCGGGGTCGCTGCCGTCGCTGCGTTACCGGCATCCGACTCCACATCTCACCAAACGACTCAGGCCAAGTTCGGCGCGCAAAGGAAACAGTCATCTACGAACTGAAATTTTCCTGTTGCTAACCGGATCTCTTCGATGGCCTGGCGCGGTGATTTGTCAGCACATGCCTCAGCGTAAGCAAGCGAATCAGGCTCATTGTGCCCGGAGTGAAGTGTGTTAAACCACTTAAAGTTAAGCGATTGGAAAGGCAGTCGTCAAATACCGCATCGTATCTAAACTTGCGTCTATATGCCTCTCGATGGTACAGACTTTGAACTGCAGCATTACACATATGCTGGAAAGCTGACGCCTCCTTCGTGCAAGGAACCTTCAGTCACACAGCGCAAGCTGTGTTGTGTCACATGTGCGCCAGAAGCGTATTGGAATTAAGCTCTCTAAAAAACAATAAGTCGCATATTCGCTTTGGCATGGAACATGGGAAAGTAACACTGCTCCTTCCGCATTATGAAGGGCCCCAGAAGAACGCTCTGAGAACCTGCTTCTAGCCCAACTCCACGTCCATTAGAAGCGCATACGGACGTGTTGGCCATGCCGCCATTGTTTGTGTGTGCTCACGTTGGGCGCTAGTGAGACCTGCGCACATCTCGTGCCTGAGACTGGGACCGTGATGGCTGGGACAACCTTGAGACCTTTGCTCACCTTGTGTCTGAGGCTGGACCGTGATGTCTGGGACACCCTGAGACCTGTGCACATCTCGTGCCTGTGACTGAACCGTGATGTCTGGGACACCCTGAGACCCGTGAACATGTCGTGCCTGAGACTGGACCGTGATGGTTGGGACACGTTGAGACCTGTGCTCACCTTGTGTCTGAGACTGGACCGCGATGTTCGGGACACCCTGAGACCTGTGAACATGTCGTGCCTGAGACTGACCGTGATGGTTGGGACACCTTGAGACCTGTGCACATCTCGTGCCTGAGACTGGACATGGTGGCTGGGATCTCCTGACGGACCATAAGTCGCTTGAGTCTTGTCACCATTTTTGCAGTCACTAGAGCTTCGGGATATTACAGAAATCCCAGTTCCGTGAATGGCCATGAGGTTTTGCCGCCACTCGTGCCCTAAACTGGCTGTGTGTTTTCAACCAGCTGGCCGCCCGGGGTACCGCTCGGCCGGTACCCCGGTCCTCGCAGCGCCGGGTAAAAAGCGCGTCGCGCCGCTCGGGTGGTACCGCGTGCAGCGGGGCCACGGAGCTCGGCCGCACCGCCGGGGTACGGAGCGCGTCGCGCCGCTCGGGTGGCACCCCGTGCGGCGGGGCCACGGAGCCCGGCCGCACCGTCGGGGTACGGTGCGCGTCGCGCCGCCGCGCCGATCTCTGTTGGTTGGTCGGCATCGCCGGGAGCGGACGGAGCGTTCAGCAGCGCACGCCTCCGATAGCTGGCCGCCGGGGAAGGCCGTCATGACGTCACCAGAAGCGCTCAGGACGGCACTGAACACCTCCGGTGAGGTTCACACATCGTCACACGCTTGCTCTGTCAACTCCAGCCATCGTGACAGGGCTGCTGCTTGTCCGTCTGTCTGCTCGACCCGCTGTCTATCGGTCTGCTTCTTACTGTCTTTCCGTCTTTCTGTCTTCTTTTGACATGTGCTGTACATGTTTATGTTTTTCTGTTTTGTATCATGAGTATTTATGATGAAAACGTGCATTTCTACCTATCATCAAGAAGATCAGCGCAGGTAAATTACCTATCTTTAAGAAGATCAGCGCCGGTGAATTATCTATCATCAAGAAGATCGGCGCCGGCGAATTCAGTGGCAATCACGTGAAAAATTCGTGCAAATTAATCCACGCAAGTAATTCAGATCAGTGTGGTTCAGATCTCAAGTGATTGTTCATTTGAGCAGCCGACCATGTTCGGTTTCCTGGTAACGCGCACTGTCACTGCATCTCACTTAAAGATTCCTGCCAATGGCATCTCAGCACGACTCCATGGATGTCACGCGCGCTGTTTAACATGTGCAAGAATAGAATATGGGTTTCTGGTGCTGCCTTCTGAACAGTGCGATAACGGCCCGAGACTTCTCATAGAAAACATCGAACATGTTCCTGGCATATAATCAAGATGCCAAGTTCTAGGCAAGAAACATGCGCCTGCCAGCACGGGTATTTCACAGAGCTTTGGTTAGCAGCTCGCCCTACATCACATACAGCGCATGTCGTGCGATTGGGCAGTGAAAGTTATGTCCTTAACGAAAACATGAGGCGAGAAGTCGCGCGTCAAGTACGAGATTTGATCAAATGTGGTCGCCCTCGCTTGCCATACAATTCCCAACAATGCGATTCTGAAACCACGAAAGTTATCAGGAACATTTGCGAGGAGCGTTATGCACATAGATAAGACAGTAGTAACAGCCTTATTCCTTTGATAAAAAACCAGGAGACTGGAGATGCGTTGATATTAGCCGAAGACGTGTCAGTTATTCGTTTCGATAAAGACATGTTGCCGAAAGATCAGCGCATCTAGATTTCCATTCTCCTGGTTTTTCTCCGACGAATAACGCTTTTTCTACAGCCTTATGTATGATTCGGAAACCGTCCACTTTTGCTATCACCCCGCGACCGAATGGTTAAAAATTACCTAAAAGTATCTCCCGAAAGTTAACAGCATTCTGCATACCTGTGTGGGGCACCCCACGCAAGACCTAATGAAGTTCGTATACGACAGTCGATTGACAGCATTTAGGTAACTATCCTTACATTGGAAACAATATTTTTGAACGAGTTTTGTTGTGCCTCATGTGAGGCATCGCTCATGGGTTTCATTAATAAGAACTTGAACTTTGGAGCTTGGTAAATTTATGCGGACGGAAAAATTACTTGCAAAACCTGACCCCTCCCCATACGAGAACGTTCATTTACATGGGACACTCCAGCTTTGGCTTCCGGTTTTGCTATCTTGGTCAGTACAGATTTTTTCACTTGGTTTGAGATTCTTAGCGCCTTTCTGCATTTTAAGGAAACGTTTCGCGCTGAATAATATTAACTCATTATATCCATTGAAAATTTTGAGAGAACGCATATACATTTAGACTTTCGAGAGGTTCTGTGTCATTGCATGAATCTTTGTGACATTTTTAAGTTGTTTGCGTCGTGTGTGTGTGTGTATGTGTGTTGTGTGTGTGTGTGTGTGTTGTGTGTGTGTGTGTGTGTGTGTGTGTGTGTGTGTGTGTGTGTGTTGTGTGTGTGTGTGTGTGTGTGTGTGTGTGTGTGTGTGTGTGTGTGTGTGTGTGTGTGTGTGTGTGTGTGTGGTGTGTGTGTGTGTGTGTGTGTGTGTGTGTGTGTGTGTGTGTGTGTGTGTGTGTGTGTGTGTGTGTGTGTGTTAAACCACCATCGCATACGTTGTACGAAAATAACTCTTTTTTTGCCTGCTCATGTAGCCGTTGGCCGTTTGTTACCCGAAATGCGGCGCGAACTAACATACGGTGTATAAGTGAAGCAGCATATGTTGAGATAAATCGCAACTTAGTGAGCAAGCTAGTTACCTAAGCTTGCAAGGGCAAGACAGTAGTGTTAACCTTATTCCTGGGAGAAAAACCAGGAGAATGGAAATGTGACTGGGTTGATATTTCGGCAACATGCTTTCATCGAAACATGGGCACAAATCTTGCTTCGACTTGCGCTCTTGTTTCGATGAAGGCATGTTGCCGAAATATCAACCCAACTATCTCTCCATTCTCTTGGTTTTTCCCCGAGGAATAAGGCTAATAGTACTGTCTTATCTATGTGAATAACGTTCGTAGCTAGTGCACTGGATAACTCACGTAAGCTTGCAAAGGAGTGAGAAAATGTCCTCTGAATCAGCGAAGAACGAGTGAATGCTTTAATGCTGCCTGTCGTCAAATTTCTTCTTCTTTTTAAATTTGACGAGATAACTTCATTTAATGACATTACCAGAAACCATGGCCTTGCATCTCGCAAGTTGGCATTGCGCTAGATCGACCTACACAAGAAGCTGTCATAAGCTAAATTAGTCTTGAATTCTTGAAAACACATAAGGGTAATGCTAATTTCCCGAAGTTTCTACGCTTCAAGTTATACAAGAAAACATCATATTCATCATACCTTACAACACATTCCAATCTGAACTCTAAGACTATGCATGGGATTGGAAGACTAAAATAATTGTATGACTTACACAGCAGTACATTGAGCTGTGTAACTACTTTCAGAATCTTCTACCGTTTTTTTTTTTTAGTCTGATCTGTTCAAGTTCCATGGCCATTGTGTCTTGAAGACTTTTACCTACGGGTATAAGAACACCCATCGTAAAAAGCTCGGTGTTTGCAAAGCGTTGCTTGCCCGTGATCCTGATGGAGCCATTCATGAACTTTCATGTGGCGGTGTTCCTGGTCGTGTTAAAACACTTTTGGCTCTCGGACTTGATGTTATCCTTCCGGTATAGAGGCTGGAGCTCCTGCATTGCCACCCTGCGTTTGAAAGCAAAACTGGTTTGTTCCGTGTCTGACCTTCCTTGATGCATTGATGCGGATTTAACGGCGTTAAACGTAGCCTTGTCTCCATTTATCAACGGTGTTTGTATGCCTTTGATTCCTCAAAAGTTTTCTCTGCCATCTGTTCTTGTCGTGAACTTGCTCCTCTCGACATTTTCCGTCTGACAAGAGCATTTCCATTTCAAAACTGAACAAATGTAGCGGTGTACTAATCTGGGTCGTTAGTCATGTGTAGAGAAGATGACAATGATATTGACAAATGTTTCCAAGTTTGCTGAAGTTTGGGATCCCAAGCTAAAAACTACGCTATGCAAAAAATAGGATTAATGGGCCTTTGTCCAAATTGAAATCGCTAGGCATGCTAACGGATGAAACGTACAAAGCATTTGCATGTCTCTGGAAGTGTACCGGGTATTCTGTACGGTTTGCTGGTGCCAGAGATCCACAAGACCCTTGACCCATCGTCCCTCTTAGAGCTGTTGTCTCCGCTTGTGTCACCCCGGCTTAAAACTTAGCTAAATGTCGGGCTTCTGCGCTTGGCCATCACACAAAAGCCAGTACACGTTAAGGTGCTCGTATATATATATATATATATATATATATATATATATATATATATATTTATATATATATATATATATATATATATATATATATATATATATATATATATATATATATATAGGCCCGCAATGCTCGTCGCATTTTTCCAGACCTGAAACCGCATCTGCCATTGTATTTCTTGCATGTTACAATAACGACAACCCGTATGGTGCCGCTATGGGTTTTTCATGCTAATTTCCAAGACAGGCGTTCCAACAGGCAACAGACTCTGCGGCTGACAATACCCGAGAAGCATGTATGCTTCAGTTCCTTCGCTGTCTTGCCTCCGACCGGCATTCGTTTTGCTGTTAGAAGCAATAATAGCAGCGTTGTCCCGCGGCCAACATATCCAATTATTAGTATCAGACTGCGGATCAGCGGGCGATACCGAGCCCTACAGATGTACGTCATCCCTGCAGAATACGTTTGTGGCGCCCGCCGATGCGTGCCTGCCACGCCGAAATGACCAATTTACGCACACGGTCCGGCCGCACTTACGTGCTGGGGCGCAAGGCAGCCTCTATTGGCATCGGCAATGACGTTCCGCGCGATGTTCGGGCTCGGCATTCTGGCGCAGCCGAGGCCAACAGAGTGGCCGGTGGTGTGACGCGCGCCCGGCAACAGACTATTCTAGACTATTTATGGTTCTTGATGTGGAGTGAGATTGCCAGATGATTTGAACCTGTGCTGTCACCATTGCTTCTTTTTGGTGGGCGCCTGGTGTGGATGGCGGATGAAGAGAAGACAAAGCAAGTTTTAGCGCTGAGCGAAGCTTTTTCATAAAGCTGAGGAGCCTACCTGCTCCTTACATTCAAGCTTTATTGTCCAAACATGTTCGCTAGTAAACAAGACAGAGGGTTTCAGCGCTTTGGCTTGGAAAGAATATGTAAAATCTGGTGCATGCTGCTTCAAATAATCGTCATTGTGTTGAGGTACAGGTCGGGTAATGTTCGTCGTTAGCAAGGGGCATTGCGCCTCCGGGGACGCTTAGCCCCGCGAAACGATCAGGCCCGCCAGACGAGAAATTATTACTTCTCAACCTTATAAAACAGCTTCGTCTCATTGTAAGCATGGTGAGAGCATGCAACTGCATCAGGTCGTTGGGAGCCGAGGAAGTCCATGCAGAGAACAGAGAGCTGCATCAGCCCGCAGAAAATTGATCCGATTATTCACCCCGAAACGTAATGTGTGCCCGTACTTCGTCCTTTTTATTTTACACTCCTTGATTTTAGCTAGTCTTGAAAGTTGATCTGATCTTACCTCAAGCTGATGAGCGTAGCCAAAGTTTCTAGGGTTTGGGCAAGCCGGCCCCCCGCCGGCTGCCGACAACTTGCTGCGTAATTTTGATTTCCGCTCCGATCTGAGCCTTTTGTATAGCGCTCAGTAA